TTTTTGTTCATGGTGTTTTATCACAGCAATAGGAACCCTGATTAAGATACCTATCTCTGGGGCTGCAGAGATGGCTCAGGGGTTAAGAGCATGACCTGCTCTTCCAGAGGTCCTCAGTTCAATACCCAGCCACCACATGATGGCTCACAACCATCTGTAATGAGAACTGGTGCCCCCTTCTGGCGTGCAGGTATTCCTGCATGCAGAACACTGTATATATGATAAAAAATAAAATAAAAAGACACCTAACCCTGGATGCGTGTTCACATAAGTGACACTATGCTTGAAGCTTTATTATTTCTTGTGTTTTAAGCACTCAGTACTAAGTTTCAAAAATCTATTTCTGTTGATATATTTTAGTTTATCTTGAAATCAAGATTTTAACTTCTTGGGGCTGGTGAGATGGTTCAGTAAGTAAAGGGGCTTACCACATCGTGCAACCAGAGTTTCATCCCTGTAATCCCTCAAGGCTTCAGAGGTAGAGAATATATTCCATAAAGGTGTCCTCTGACCTCACATAAACCATGGCACATGACACACACACACACACACACACACACACACACACACACAAATTGAATTCAGCTGTTTTATAGTATTATGCTTGCATAAGTCCATGGACTTGTAGTTATCAATTATAATTCATGTCAGAAAAGGTATGTTTAACTCATAACTCTCTAATTATGTAAGTTCCTATAGTCCTTGAATTTACTCTAGCTATATTCATGTGTCTATTTAATTTCTAAAATTATCTTTCAAAGCTTACAGATCTCTTAAGTGCTTGATCTATGTCATGGAATAAACTCATTTTTATTTTTGTCTCTCCACCCTATAGACTGGAAAACTGTGGATTAACCCCCGTTTGCTGTCAGGATCTCTTAAGTCTTTTTTCTGGCAACCAAAGTTTGATACAAATGAACTTAATGAAGAATGCTCTCAATTATGACACAATTAAGAATTTATGTACAGTCTTGAGGTCTCCAACATGCAAAATAAAATTTTTAGCGTAAGTTTTCAGTTGCTCCTCAGATGGCACATGTCCTGTGTTGATGGATTTAGGTACCCATTCTTTTATTGATGTCCTCAGAATCAACCTGCTACATTGGGTAGATTGGTCTGGAACCAGACTACCTCAGTTCGAATTCTGGCCCCACCTCTGTTCAACTCGGGATATTCTCTAATATCCCTGCATACAAGTCTCACTTGTAAAATGGATAAATTGAAAAATATTTGTTCACAGGGTTATTATGAGGCTCTGTTAGACTTGGAGCTGACACAGTGCCCAGTACAATAAACAGGAATGTGTTGCCTATTCTCACTAGAAAAAGGCTCCCAGGGGCCCTTGTTAATTGTAATTTTCTCTATATGCCACTTCACTTTGCTGCATCTCCTTCAACATCTCTCTCATTCCTACTCCCCACCAATGTTAAATTCCCACTTTAGCAAAGAAACCATTCTGTTTTGTTTTTGTTTCCTCTCTTGAAGTTCCAGAAGGTAGAAAAGATGTTCTTTTATTTTTCTCAGGTTGGACAACAAGGAAATTCTTGGAGAGAAAATCAAGAAATTTGTGAATGATGTAAGAACTAACAACCCACAATTGGTGATTAAGCCACACTATTACAACACAGAAAGTGAGCGCTGGTGGAAGTATTTCTGAAGAACCTGATGTGCCTTTAAAAATTAAAAAACATCTTCAATGGCATGGTCTTTAACATATATGAAATACTTGCCTATATCCAGAGATACTGAATTGCATTTCCAGTAGGGATAGGTTACACACTTCTCTGTAAAATGTTTGTTGTATTTCACACGGGTGTTGAGAAAATAAAGCAAAACCCACAAAATGCTGTGTCAAATGTTTTTATTGGCTATGGAGCTTAAAAACTTTGGAAGAAGTAGAGAAATGAACTTGATGATGGGACTTGTCTTATTTAGGGCTACTATTGCTGCAATGGAACACCATGACCAAAAGCAACTTGGAGGGAAAGGGTTTATAATGAATGGCTCACCATCAAAAGTAGTAAGGGCATGAGCTCAACATAGGGCAGAAACCTGAAGTCAGGAGCTGATGTAGAGGCAATGGAAGGGTTCTCCTTACTGACTTGGCTCAACATGGCTTGCTCAACCTGCTTTCTTATAGAACTCAGGACTACCAGCCCAGGGATGGCCCTACCCACAATCCACTGGGCTTTCTCCCATCAATCACTAAGAAAAATGCCCAACAGGCTTGCCTACAGTCTCATCTTATGAATGCATTTTCTCAGCTGAGGTTTCCTCTTCTCAAATGGTGGGGGTGGAGAGAGGAGGACTTGACAAACTCGGCAGCACAGCACTAGAGAAGATTCATGAGCCTCAATTTCCCTTCACATTCCCACAACCCTGGCTTAGTTCATAGCTGTGCTCTAGCTTGTCCTATTAGAATGGCATCCACATGTGTACTGAGTACTGCCAATGTCAGTCACTTGTGTCTATCTTTAAATGTAGATTTCTAGATTCAATAAAGAATATTGGGGTGAGGCTCCCTAGGAGTGAGGATGTGAGGATTTAAATAACTTCTTAGTTGAGTCACTAGTTCCAGTAGATGTGGGAATGCAATTCTGCAATGAATATCCTGTAGCCTCCTGATTTAAAAAAAAAAAAAAAAAAAAAAGGCTAATTTAAAAAGGACATAAGGCTTTTGGGGTTAAAACTAAAAAGATTCATTTGATTGAAAGATTGTTAGGAGTTATTTAATAAAGCTGTAGAACCATCCCAGAACTGTGGCATGCAAAACAAACAAAAAACCCCAACCATTTAGCGATCTGGAGCCAGGTGTAGTGAGCCAGGTGTAGTGGTGCATGCCTTTAACCCTCAACATTTGGGAAGCAGAAGTAGGTGGATCTCTAGGTTCAAGTTCAACCTGGTCTGAGTTCCAAGCCACCAAGAGTTATATGGTGAGTGGGGCCAGGTGGTGGTGCATGCCCTTAATCCCAGCACCTGGGAGGCAGAGGCAGATGGATCGCTGTGAGCTCAAGGCCAGCCTGGTCTACAAAGTGAGTTCAGGACAGTCAGGACTATTATACAGAGAAAACCTGTCTCAAAAAAAGTTATGAGACCCTATCTTAATAACTCATGACATGGCAGACAAGAATTCAGGAAGGGCTCAGCCAAGCATTTTTTTTCTGCATGGTATCACGTGTGGCTCCTTGGTATTGAGTGGGAAAGCTCTGAAGGCCACTTGGCAAGGATGGCTGGAAATTGGATGGCCTGCAAGGCCTCTGTGTCTGCAAGTTAGAACAGTTTAAGCTCTGCCCTGGGAGCACTGTCAAAGCTGAGCCTGGAGGGGAGTAGGGAGTAACTAGCCAGGAGGGCCTGTAGAGCAGAGCCTACCTGGAGGTGGCCAAGGGCAGGGCTGTGGAGGTGGCTCACAAGCCTTGAGCAAACCGCAGCCCTTGTGGAAGGGAAGCTCAGAGAGGGAGGGGCACGGCCTGCTTCTGGCGAGAGGAGAGCCAGTCACTGGCAGGTTTGCTGCTGCCTTGAGTCTCTAGATTCAGAAGGAGCACTTGGAAAGAGTGGGGATGCCCCTGAGGAGCAGGTGGCCCCAGCTGGGTTGCCTTTGTCAGAGAGCAGGACCCTGGACAGCGCTTGCAGTTTTCCCCAGGAGTTTTAAATGGTAGCTTGCCACTTAAAACAGTCTAAAGCTATTTCCTAGAGGCAGGTAGACAACATTTGTGTGTTCACGGACAACACACAAATGTATTCAGACTAAGGGAAACATTAAAAGTTTTCATTAGTGCTCAGTAGTCAAATATATAAGCATAAAATGGAGTAGACAGAGGCTGGGGGTCCAGGGTTGAAAATTGTTTGACAGACTTTTCATTTTGCAAGGTAGAGTTCTCAAAAGTACACACAATGTGGATGCACTTAATCTTACTGGACTTTATACCTAAAATGAGTAAGCCAGTAAATTGTGCGGTGGGCATTTTAGAACTTTAAAAATTAAGTTTAAACAGGAAGGGCTGCTCTCTTCCTTGTCAGTGAACTTGGGGCACAGAATGGGCCATACTGCTTGTATGTCTAGATGGTTAGACCACAGCTCAGTCCCAGAATAAACTGGAAGCAGCAGATTCCAGATCACAGGAGAAGGGTGGAGTTTTAACTGTCCTGGGGCTTTCAACCCAGGAATAACCTGGCAGGTTATTCCATGTGTTCTCCAATTTTTCCTGTCAGGATACAGCCTGCTACAGAGGTTCCCTCCCCCCAACTACTCTGTGTGTGTGTGTGTGTGTGTGTGTGTGTGTGTGTGTGTGTGTGTGTGTGTTTAGGGAGGATAATTAATCTTTCTTGAGTAATGTTGAAGTATTACCTCTGTTTTTGATAGTGATTAAATTTCTTTCCTCATCTTGGGGCTTCTGTACCTTAGAGTTCCTTTTAGGATGCTGGGGCCAGTGTGGATGGTGAGAGAATCTGTACCCACTCCAGTTTACAGGTTCACATTTGATCCTATGGGTGGTCTCAGAAACAGATGACTTCATCTTTTCTGGTACAGTTAAATAAAGACGATATCATCCCTTGCTCCAAACCTCTCAGGCTGTTAGGATACTACAGGTTTTCTCCATCTTAGAACCTATAAAGGTAATGTTAGAATCTAGCCTCTGCTTTACAGCAGCTCTCCCCATCTCACAGATACCAACATGCACCTCACTGGTACACTGCACTGGAGAGAGTTAGCATCAAAGAGTATTGATGTTAAGGTTATGTCACACTAGTTCCTCCTAGAAATCAAAGAACCTCATCCCATCCTGTGGGAGCCCATTTTCAGGTTTCCTAGTGCTTACCCAGCAGGTCTGTATAGAAGGGGTGATTGGATCATGGGCCTTAGTGCAGGTGTCTGAGATGGTCTGTACTTGGCTGTGCTGGGGGAAGGTCTTTTGCTCCACCCTTGGCATTTCTATAAATACCCTAGGGCACAGACAGTCAGGGCCAGTGGATAAGGATCCAGGCCCATCTGAGTCTGTCCCGTGTTTTCTCTCTGTTTCTCTCCCCTCTATTTCTAACTAAGTCTCTTATTCCTTATTCCTCAAGAGTCCCTGGGGTAAATAATTGTGGGGCTGGTCCCCCACACCATCCTTAAAAGGTATAAATAAGAAGAGGGTCCCTCCTCTGCCATCAGGGCCTGATCCTCTCCAGATACCCTACCACAGTGTCCATCTCTAGCACTGGGCCTGAACTCTCATCGGAGTATCTAGTACTATGTTGCCTGCTCTGTCTGTGTGTCCATGGCTTTAATAACTTTTAATAAAGTTCTTATTGTCCAGTCATCCATCTCAGTGTTCTCTCTCTCTCTCCTCTCTCTCTCTCTCTCTCTCTCTCTCTCTCTCTCTTTAGAGCTGAGGACCGAACCCAGGGCCTTGCACTTGCTAGGAAAGTGCTCTACCACTGAGCTAAATCCCCAACCCCAGTGTTCTCTTAAGCCCCCAATCCAAAACATAATAGAACCCATTTATTCCTTCCTTTATCCCCATTTACTATCCATTCTTCTATTCACAGTTAAGGTCTCCCCCTTTTAGTAGTAGTCACCTGAGGTTCAACCACTGTGCAGAGACATGAGGATTTAGCTCAGTGGTAGAGTCTTTGTCTGGAATGCACCAGGCCCTGGGTTTGGTTCCCAGCAATCCTCCCTCCTCCAAAAAAGAAACCAACTACTGTTCAGGACTAGATTTCAGTGAAAAATATTAGACTAGCAAACACTCAGCCTCAATCCATTCCTATTAAAGGTAGAGTGTGATGATATTGTGTCTCCCAATATATTGTGCACCTTAATAAACTTATCTGGGATCAGAGAACAGAACAGACACTAGATAGACATAGAGGCCAGAAAATGGTGGCACACACACCTTCAGTCCTATCACTTGGAAGGCAGAGGTCCATCTGGATCTCTGAGTTCAAAGCCACACTGGAAACAGCCAGGCATGATGACATATGCCTTTAGTCCCAGGAAATGATGGCAGAAAGCAGAAAGGTATATAAGGCGTGAAAACCAGGAACTAGAACCTGGTTAAGCTTTTAGGCTTTTAGCAGCAGTTCAGTGGAGATTCATTCTGGATGAAGCCTCAGAGACTCCCAGTCTGAGGAAACAGGATCAGCTGAGGAATTGGCAAGGTACTACAGTAAAGTAGGGTTACATACATAACAAGCAGCAACAGGCCATTTTTACCCACAGAAAATATAGCTGTGGGATGAAGAGATGGCTCAGTAGTTAATAGAACATACTGTTCTTCTAGAGGAACCAAGTTTAATTTTCAGCACCCATATCAAGTGGCTCACAACCACTGTAACTCCAGCTCCAGGGGCATCCAACTCCTCTGGCCTGTATGGATACTGCCTTCACATGCACATACCTCATACACACACACAAAGACATATATGCACACAGGTAGTAAATATTTAGTTTTTAAATTCCTTTAGAAAATACAGCTATTTTTGTTATTTGTCCCAGTTTTATTAAGTAGAATGAAGGTACAACCTGCTCACTGGGCCATCGGGAATTCTGACACAAAATTTTAAAATACATTTACAGTGACTTCTGTCATAATCATCCATCCTCCAAAACTTGGTTTTGCATCCCTGTGACCATCAAATAGTGAAAACAAAGTTGAAGAGATGGAGTGGGGGAATAGCATAACAAGTGTTCCCATCCTTCTCTAAAATATCCACCCACAAAACAGTGGAATCTCTGTGTGGCCTCTCCATCAGCCTTGCTTAAGCATATAAGTATAAGTCAGCTCTTCATGTCTTTATCTTCTGCTTTACACAATATTTGAAATGCCTGTTTTTAATCTCTATTAAACTGGTATTTCTAAAAGAGCATCTCTCTGTTCATTGTAGAAATTATGTGATGTAAGCATGTTCCTTGATTGAAGAAATGCAATTTGAAGGTCCTCATTGCTTTAAGGTCTTACGTTTCAGTTTTTTGATAGCATTCTCAGAATTTGCATCTCTTTCTGTAGAGACAAGTTGGTAGAAGCCAGGAATATAGTTCAGTGGTAAAGGCCATGCTGAGCATGTGTGAGGCTCTGGATTCTCAAACACCAGGAAAATAAAAACAAGAAGAAAGAAAAAAACACTTCTGTCCCAAATCAATCCTACCTATGAACTGTTCTGGTACTCCTTACATGGAATGTGGCATATACCCATATACCATGGGTAAGCTCTGTCTCTTCTACTGGCAGAAGAGTCTTTAGCAGTAGTTTATATCTCAGCAATACAAGATAAAAAGATCTAGCTTTCTCCAATTTCTACATTACTGTAATTATGTCAGGGCAAGACAGTGCAGAGGTTTCTCCTTCTTGTATTCTTGCTGAGGTCATTTCAGATTTAAGTAGAATTTGATCTCCTTGATGGAGACTCCCATGGAAAATTTACCTAACTCTATTGTAGAAACTCTAGTTCAAGATGCCCCATGTAACTTACCTTAGCTTCTGTTAAACTGCCTGCTTGTGCAAAACTCCTTCTCAGGCTAACTGCTTATCTTTGCATCTGTTAAACTACTTGTTTGTACAAAACCTCCCCTGGTGGCAACAGCAGAATAGATACCAAGATGTGGGTTTTGCCTTTAAAAACCCCTTGCTCTAAATGCTCCAGACTATGCTTAGGTCCCAAATATCTGAGTGTAGTCCCAGCCAATTGGATGGAATAAAGCCTTTCAATTGGCTATAAACTAAGCCTGTGTCATCTTCTCTAGTGGGCTCCCTATAACATAATCCCCCACTCATTTGAGTCAGTTCACAGTTTAGATGGTCACTTCAAACACATATATAGCTATATTTGTTGGTAAATTCCAGCCACCTTCTGAAGCTACAGGTAGTTTTGTGCCCCCCTCAGCCCCCCCCCACACACACACCCACACTTTGAGGTAAGCTTCACATGATTCTCTAGCTTCCACCTCCCAAACAGAGACTACAGGTCTATACCACTGTAACTGGCTCTCATGTAAGTTCCTCTTATGGATATCAACATGTTCTAATTTAATTTACCTTCAAAATTCCCATGGTAATGTTTACCTTAAAGGTGTCCCCAGGTTTTTATTGTTCCTCTACTTAACCATATAGCCAGGCTATTGACTAGCATCATGGTGTCAGTAAAAACCCACACAAGACTTTTTGCCATTGTTAAAATTCTTCCATGACTGCTAGGAAAACAGCATTTTATTTAGACACCCCGTCTTAGTTAGGGTTTTATTGCTGTGATAAGACACCCTGACCACAGCAACTCTTATAAAGAAAAACATTTAATTGGGGTTGGCTTACAGTTCAGAAGTTTAGTCCATTGTCAGCATTGGTGGGAAGCTTGGTGGCATGCAAGCAGACATGATGCAGGAGAGGGAACCAAGAGTTCTACATCCAGATCAGCAAGCAGCAGAAAAGAGTGTGAACCAGTGGGTCTGGCTTGAGCTTTGAAACCTCAAAGCCTACCTCCAGAAACACACTTCCTCCAACAAGGCCATACCTCTCAATAGTGCCACTCCCTATGAACCTATGGGGGCCATTTTTATTCAAACTACCATACACCCAGAGCTGTTTTTCCTTTCTTTAAACACAGCGATGGCTCTCTAAGCAGGATGCTGTCCAGTAGCCTCAGAACTCCTAAATATAACTATACAACTCTTTACTGGTCAATTGAGTTCTGTGTACAAGGCACTATCTATGCAATATAATCGAGCATTATTTTATACTACTCCAAAATCAGTTCTAAGGGAAAAGAGTCTTCTTGGTAAGCCTACTAAGCAAGTATGTATTCCTTCAGTTCCATATTCCTACTGCAACACAAGCCCAGCAGTGGTGCTGGAAGTTCAAGGGTCACAAAAGCCAGGGCCACACACAGTGGCCAGTCTCAAAGCCTCCTTGCCAATGGATATCAACACAGAAGATTAGAGAAACCATGTTTGGGGAACATGGTAATGTGATCATAGGGGCCACTTTTAAAAGTTACAATTATTCTATTATTTCAATTGGCTGTGGCTGTACTAACATATCAACATCACCTTGGGGTTAGTTCATTAGCATATCAAGACCTGTTTTGGAGCTTCCCTTGTAACTGAGCTGCCCGGTGGAAGGTCCATTAACACAACAGAGCTTGCCTGGGGCAGGGCTGGGAG